CTGCAGAAACTTTGCTTATTTTTTAATTAAGAGTTTTCACAAAACGGATTGTTTCAGAATGAGGAGAAATAGTAGTTCTTAGCCCTGCTCCCTCTAGCTGGGGCAAACCAGGTATGGTAAAGCTTACTTAAAAGAAAATAAATATTACCTGAGGGCAGAGACTAAGGCGCAAGACAGGAAAGGAAAATAGGTGGATTAAGTCAGGTGAACTCATGAGGTAAAGAGAAGTGACAGGTTAGCTTGGAAAAGTAGTTTCGCTAAGTATAGCCGCCAGCAGAAGGTGACTAATCACATAGGAGCAAATGCTTCTATATAAAAACAGATTTATAAATATAAAAAGGTGGTATTTTTTCCACTTACCAGGTCCCCTTACAGACCTCATCTTACCTCATCTGAAGTATGATTGATAATATCCAGCTACTATGCCAAACATACACAATTTTACTGTCCTTTCTAATATTTTTGTACAATATACTTCCTAAAAACCTAAAAATTGCCATGCTGCTCATATACAGTTTGAAACATCTTAAGCATTCTCTTTCATCACTGCCTTCTCTTTTAACAAACAATAACAAAGAAGATGGATGCCAGTGTTTAAACTTATTTTTGAGACTCCCAGCACAGAACAAACTCTGGATAGAAACAGGGAGCTGCTGTTGGATGTATTCTGCTTTTACTCAGCAATTCACAATTAGCTCAAAGTATTCATTCAGACTGAAAATGGACTTTTCCAGATTTCTCTTTGCTTTTCCCTTTTTAAAACATGTTAGAGGAATTGAGAGGCAAACAAAAAAAAAAAAAAGAAAAGAAAAAAAAAGAAACAAAACAACAAAAACAACTTTTTTATGTACTTTTTTTGGTCTAAAACAGTTTCAGCACTTACAACAGATTCTTTGCACAGGTAAGCCTAGAGTAACTGCACAAGTAGAAATGTTGATTTATACAAATCCAAAGATGATGAAATTTCTGGCCATTGAGAACAGTCTTAGTTATCCAGAGCCAGATTATACCTTCATTTACTCCTATAAAAAGCAGATACAGTTGCTACATTTCTTCTTTTTTACTACTTGTAATTGAAATTAGTAGTTTTGCCTTTATTGCCATAGGACTCTGTTAATACAGGAAAAACAAAGGGCACATGAATTTTAATTAGTCTGAATGCACTGTCAGTTCCTATATGAAATGATGAATTTTAATTTTAGAGCCTATTGAGGATTACCAAAGAACTTTTTACATTTTTTTTTTTTGAAAAGTCAAGTGGCATTAATGTCCTGAACTAACAGTGCCTCCTCACTATTTTGTGAGTTCAAACTACAGCTTTTAGATTAATTAGTCTCCTCTGGGAAATGTTACTCTGCATGGAGTAAGCCTTTGCATTGAAGGGAAGGAGACACAAGCTGTAAAAGTTCTCTTTTATGCTGCAGAATTAACTATTGCTTAGCCGCCACGGTAAGAAAAATAAATTAAAACATACAGGAGGATTATTTCTCTCTGCCTTCTCCTTCATCATGATGCTGCTTGATCCTTGTCATAGGCTATCCTGTCATCTCCAAGTTTCTGATTTCCTTGTGAAACAGGCACTCACACCGAGTACAATCTCGCTCACAGGTGTTTTACTGGAAGTACCAGTGAGCCAGGTCTGTACCTATATATCTATGGGAAGTATTTATATTCTCCTTATACAGGTGGGCGTTAGCAATAATGTTTTCCAATTACGCCAGCAAAAAGATTTCTCCAAGTTCAGGAATGGTTACATAATAAAGTCACTCATCCTACCTGAGGTCCTGAACCAGAAAAGACGTTAAGAGTAAGATTAACCATACAAACAGTTACAACAGACACAGTATAAGCAGTTGCCTGCAAAAACTCCCAAATACCCAAAACTAAAAGTGCTATGTTTGATGAAACTGACCAATAATAAAGTGATCACAGGAAATGAGAAGGCTTTGTGGAGTGCTTTAACAGGTAGTCCCTTCCACTGCTTCGAGTGAAAGGTTGAAGCGCCAGCAGTCACGCTGGACTGCAAGGGGCTGAGGAAAAGAGCCTTTGTCTTTGCTTCCAGCATTACCAGTAGAAGTTAAATGAAGCCAAAAAAAGAAACAACTATTGCAAACAGACGAAGCTCATTCATCTGGAGAAAAAGAAAGACTTGCTAAGTATAGGGAACAGAATACTATCTGGTGAATGAATACCTGGGAAGGAAGGTAAGGAAGGAGGGAAGGAACATAGAATCATAGAATGCTTAAGGTTGGAAGGGACCTCTAGAGATCATCTAGTCCAACCCCCCTGCACACGCAGGGTCACCTAGAGCACGTGGCACAGGACTGCGTCCAAGCGGGTTTTGAAGATCTCCATGCGAGTCTCCTTTTAAAAACACAAGTTCCAGTCAAAACATGATCTTTTTTTTTCTTTCCTTTTTACTTTAAATGTCTAAAATACCTTGCAAAATACAACAAGTTCAAGTGCAATAATAAAATACTCTACAAATGCCCTTCTGATCCCAGTAAGATTAGGAAAAAAAAAGATATAATTTCTACTTTGGAGAAGAAAACAAGTTTAAATAAAAGAAATATTACCACAGAAGTATAAAACCAAGATCAAATCCCTCTAGAAAAATGAAATTTTAAATTGTCTTAATAATAAATCTTCTCTTATGGTATCTGTGGATTCAGCAGATCATTGTTGATATTCTCGAATACCCGCAAGAATATAAAGGCGACTAGAGACAAATTGTAAATGTGCTATGAAGGACATTTCTAATACAATAATTGTGAAATATGAATTATACAGCCTTCTCTTACATTTATAAACACTATTCTACAAAATAAATAATGAATCTGTGATTTATAGAATCCCTTTGTAACCATTAATAACATTAGCCAGCATGTGGCTAGAGAGGATTTTTGTGGTAGCAAAAACATTGAAAATCGGTTGAGAACTGATCAAACACACGGATTTAAGGAGGTAATAAACTGAGTACTGTTCTTTGGAAGGTTACTCAGTGTTCATCTTTTCTCTTTTAGTCCTGCCTGGCTATTTATATACAGCACATATACAGAAATAGATGTACTTATATTGTCTAATTAAGTGTTCCTACATGTAATCCAGTCTTACCTGGCAAGTCCATATTGATGTGATAATGAATCCGTCATCTCTAAAGACGTTGAAGATTTCAATGATCCCTCGCGAATAACCGAACACAGAGATACTGGCATCTGATACTGCCAAGTTAAATGTGAGGTAGTCTGTGGGCTGCAGAAGAGCTCTTTGTTTATACAGGACAAAAATCACAATGCTGTTTCCAAACCAAGATAGCCAACCTGATAAAAAAAAAGATAAAATCTATGAAATCAAAAAGTAAACAAAACAAGAAGCAATTTAGTATGTAAATGTGCAATGCCTCCTCTAAAATTACCTTTGTATTTGCTAGCTTAAAATGTCTGCACTTCCTACACGTGCACTGGCCTTCAAGGGAGCAATAAACAGAACAAATGCTCCCATAGTCTACGGAGTCTGGGAAATTTTCAATGAAAGTATACAAGGAAGGTACTCAACTTTGTTGAGTTTCTTCCAGAACAACAAGACATATTTTAGAGGGAAATGACAGGGACAAAGTGTTTGTGATCACCTAGAATCCATCCAGATGCTGAGAGTGGGGCTGAGGGAAGCGCTGAAGGAGACAGAACTGCAGAGCACTCCTGAAGGCAGGAGCAATTCCTTCTCACAGAGCAGGCTGGTGACCTGCACTGCCATTTCCAGCCTTCAAATGCGTACTGCGTCTTGGAAGAAGACCACTTACTTAAATATTCTGATCTAAATAGAGGAAAACAACACCCAAGAAACTCAGTTCTCAGTCAGCAGCAGAGTGACAATCAGAGTGGCCAGCACAAGGACTACCAACCAGAGAAGCAACTGTGGGACACTGGATCTCTGCCCCATCAGATAGATGCACTCATTAAAGCTTGCTGATTATAGCAGCTTATTTACTTAAACAAAACAAAACGCCTCTGAGAGGATGGTAGTAAAAACGTTTTAAAAAAGGTTTAAAATATATCTTTAAAAGGCAGAGCAAAGAGAACAATAATTTTGACACACTTAATGAGGGCAGGAACTTCCTTAGTTGCTCTGGATAGATCACAAGGAACCTGGAAAGAAACCTATGAATCTTGAAGTGCTATAAGGCATTGGTGCCACACACTGGTGTCAGCATTTCAATAAAACAGAGAAAAGAACCAACCAAAGGAACTAGATTTGATTTATGCAGGTTGCCAGCAATGGTGCCTCACAAGGCAATCCAAGGGAAACAAAAAAAAACAAACAAACTCCGTATCTTAAAGCAGTCCTGGCCTAAAGAACAGGTTCCAGCTGAGATCAAAAAGTGCTCAGGGGAGAGATTAAAAATAATGGATAGGATAGAAATTGAATGTTTAACATGACTTCTCTTTGGAGAGAAGTTGCAACAGCTCCCCCATCAAGTGTATTGCTCTCTAATATGGGCTGTTCATCAATGAGAAATTGCAGGTGCTTCCAAAGCAGCAAAATCTGCAGAGAACCTGATTACTGGAGTTTGTAGTGCAGAGCAGGACTGAGAGGCACTGCTGTAAGACTTGCAGGACCAATAGGTTAAATGGTGGAATAGGTTAAATGGTGGAATAGGTTAAATGAGTGTTGATAAATACTAAATATTGAACAATTAAGGAGTCCCCTTCGCTCCTTGGGAACCTCCTTAAATCTGTGGACAGTTCTGTGAAGACTTTATTTTGCCCGGAAAAAAAGAAAAACTAGTACTATATTTGCAAACATCATGAGGTAGGAGGAATAGGATGGATAAAAGCTTTGTGTTGCCTCTATATAGTTCAGTAACAATCCTTCTCCCTGAATAACACCCCCTAATGGTGGTTTCTAATCCATAGATTTGAAAAACAATCCACGTAGGAGATAGGTGTTATTACCCATGATTTGCAGGGGAGAAAGAGGAAGGTTGCCGAGCAAACTGGTTGTATTTAAGAACTAACACCCTATCAGCCAAGTCCAGCATTAGCCCATGGTCAGTCTATACAAAGAAAGACCCGAAAACAGGCAACGAGAATGATAGAGACATTGAAAATTTCTCTGCCGAAAGAGACTGAAAATAGTGATGCTCTTTAGCTCTGAGAAGAGCTAAGAGGGAATGTGACAAGGTCACAAATACTTCTCCCAAATCACTCAAGCCTGAGCATGCAGACATGCTCATTTTCTCTCGTGCACCTGAGAGACTGCGCAGCCCCTCTGTTTGTGTTAGATCTGTGATTTCACAGGGTTCAGTTTGGTATGAGGGAACTGATGGCTCTGAGCTGATCAAGCACATTTTTGATAGATTATAGTATTCAAGCACAGCTAAGGCAGTTTATTATGCTTTGTACTTATGCCTGTCCTTACTAGACAGAAATTGTTGCAGGGGCCATGCTTGTAAAATCTTGTAAGAATGAATTCTTACCCCCCCCCCCAAAAAAAGTTACAATGTATCAACTTTGAACTAAATGGAAGAAAAAAATTACCTGTGAAAGGTGAAATCTCAGTGTCACATGACAAAATTGACACTAATTTTTCAAGTGTCAAATGGGCTGATTCTAGGGCAGAAAGTGGTTTGCAGAGCAGTCATGAATGAAGTAAAATATTGATTCAATTACCTATAGGCAGGCATAAATGCCTTTCTGGAGAATTTTGTTGTAAGAGATTTTCAGATTAGAAAACTTCACTTAAAATAGCAAGAAAATATGGAGAATTTACAAAGCTGCCATTACCAAGTACAACTGTGAAGTGCCCCCACCTTGCTTTTAATCTTGAGCACTAATTATGCATATACAGTACCCTACCCAGGATCCTACCCCAGCTGTTCTGTGAACAGTTTGTTTCCTTTCCCACCTGCCCAGATTCTTCTGTTACGGGCAGTCCAAAAATAACACTTTTTGTGTTACTTGTCAAATAGCAGTTTATTGTCACCATTCTGAAACATGTGCCCTTTAAAGGCATCTATGGGTCACCTGGCCTGTTCCAATTTTATGATTGGATGGGTGATGATTTCAGGATGCCTATCTGATATAAACACTCAGGAGAATCCACACTATTTTTCTCTAACCAATATCCTCTCATACCCATTTAAATGAATATAAAAATATTAAATGATTTGCTTCATAATGAAATGAAAAAAGAGAATATTTGCAGAGAGACAAATTGACTAAACCTGAGTATTTTTACAAGTGTAGGTTTGACTTAGCTAGTACCTGTGGACTTTTAAATTCTTGCATTTTTAATTTCTACCTGGTAATCCTTTAAAAGGATTTTTCACAATAGTATATATTGTTTTTTTCTCTAAAGGTCATACATGCAGATTCCTTTTTTTCTTTCTTTTTCTTCTTTTTTTTTTTCTGTAAATTATACCACTTACTTAAGGCAAAGGACAAAAGGAGTCAGATGTAATGCTAGCAATAGGACTAACTCCCATCTGCCTCTCCAAGAGAGAGACCCGGGAAAACAGTTTGCTCTGAAGAGGGGTGCTGACATGGTTGACCCAACGAAAGCAAAAGCCTCCATGCTACTTGCCTTCAGCTGACACCTGTGATTGATTGCACTGCGAGGGTACCCTGTTCTGCAACAGTCACTGCAGTCACCACCCTCTGTGTGTTGTCCAGCCAAAGTGTTGGTGAGGAGAATGGTGACATGGTGACTTAGGTGTCAAGCCTCAGGCACTGCAGGCATTGCAAAAGTCATTCTGATCAGCAGAATGATCCTTGTGCTTCGATGCTGGCTTGCTTGCAAAGCTAGCGTGCGATACCTATGCCAGGGTGGGCTGTGGACTCGGATTTTCCATAGGGTATACTGAGAAGCCGCCCCACATCTCTGTCTGGATTTCATGCAGGTTAGCTAATGTATCCATCAGTGCACCTCCTCTTGTAGCATCCATGATATCTGTGATAATATGAGAATTTCCAGGAAAGAATGTGTAAAGATGCCCCAACTCTTGAAAAAACCTCCCCTGAGATGTGTGACTGCAGGAACACTGGCCAAAGAAACTTAGTTTTGTTGGACCTTATCGTATGTAGGTGAAGAGATCCAAAAGAATCCCATCTTCTAGGTAATGCTAACATCCCTTTGAACATTTGTGCCTTAGAAAATGTACATCCGTATTTGCAAGAAGCTGCACTGAACATGTTTAGATTCAAGAGAGGAAAGGATTTTCAGTAGTTACTGAACTGTAACAGCTGAAGCACTGAAGCTGTTTTCCATAGACATCAAAACAACAGAAGAACTAAATACAAACGTCTTTGGGACTCTGCTTAAGTGAATGTCCCTAGAGTCCTGCTACTGCAAACTATTTTTCAAAACTCTTTAAAAAAATGCAGACACCAGAAGGTAACGCACTGACTGACCTTAGTTCTCTGCTTCTTGACGAGCAAGACTCTGTGCAATGGAGTACTTTGCTCTGCCATGTCACTGAGTGCCAGTTATCGGTGCTCATAAAAGGAATAGCTATAAAGTTTTATTATTAGTGCTTGCAGAATTGAGGCGGTAGAGCTTGAAGGAAAAAAAAAAAAGGAAATTCTCCTGATTTATACATTATTAGTGTTATTTTTTTTCTTGAATTTCCCATTGCAAAAAGGTATACCTACTTCCATTATCTTTTAACCAGAACTCTACTACACTTCAGCTGGAGTCGCATTTATACTGGTTATATGTAATCTGTCAGGAATGCAACTTGAATGTTTAATCTGGAGTTAAATAAGACTAGCAATTATATAAAATTCATTTATAAGTGTTTATAAGCCTTTGTAAGCTTTAGAAAAGGATCTAGCATAATCTACAGCAATCAGCAATCAAGAGCCACACAGTGGCTGAACTGAACTGAACACACAGCGTTTGTATTAAGTGGTTGTATTAACCACATACAGCCACATAGTGGCTGTATTAAGTTAACATATAGGACTGAAGTTTTATAAAATACATGGCAGAAGAACTTAGTAATGGACAAACTTAGGCCCCAGACAGGTAAACTCAGGTGGAGGTCAGATTTCTAAGATAAGTCCATTAAAAAAAAAGCATATATATAAAGCATAAATAAAAAAAAATGTAAAAATATTGATTTTTACATAGTAGGGAAAAGTAGTGAAAGTACATTTTTTGTTCCTATAAAAAAAAAGAGAATGTGTCTCCAATTATTTGTTTAGAGATCCTTGAGAGAATTAGAATGCTGAATTGCAACATCGTAAACTGGAATAAATGAAAAAAAAAATCATGTCAAAACTTTTTATTTTCTTAAGCTGACAAACCCTAAAAATCATATATATATACATTCAGCAAATATGACATATTTTTTTCTCCTTCAGAATTTATCTGCTACTGATTGTTTTCACTGTCTCCCAACAGCAATATTAAATATTCGCTTGGAATATACTATGGCAGCTTATAATAGAAATCCAACTGATCTGACTGGGCCGTTTCAACCTTTTTCTGTGATGATATGTGTTGCTTGGATACTGTGGGTAGGTAATCCTAGTTACCTGTTTAAAAAATACAAATTTATTTTGGAACAGATAGTGCAATAGGTTGCTGGCATAATAGTCTAGAACAGTAGTGGAAAGACTATTATGAGAGAAGATTTTTTAAAGAGTAATAATTTGCTTAATAGAGGAATATGAAGGTTGCCCATGCAGTAATGACTGTTCCTCTACAAATACAAGGTGGCTGTGGGAGATTAATTGCAGGCAGCAAAATCATTTCAATTAAAAGATGTGACAAAAAAAAACATATAAAATGGGCATGTACCACTTCAGCTTAAAATTTAAGAAAAGGCTTCAAGCCACCGAGAGATGAAGTCAAGAACAGCCTGTTGATTGCAAGTGTGGTAGCAACAAGAACAAAATCCCCTAGCAAGTTATAGGGGGAAGCATGATAGTTTTACGAAGGGAATTACATCATTAGAGCAAGGGACTGGCCTGTAGACCTAAGAGGTTCTTTCTCATTCTGAAGGCAAATGATTAATTCATTAGCTGATGTGGCCAATTCCCAGATATCAATGTGCACACACATGAGCAGATCTAGGATAAATCGGAACATCACTTTATCTTATTTACACTTTTTAAACTCAGTTTCCTAATATAGATGCATACCTTTTTCTTCTAGAATCTCTATTTTTTATCCCAAACTCAACTACTTTTTTCTAAATCTTACAAGTAAAGAAGAAAATCTTATATGAATATAAGAAAATATGACCATTTTACATTGTAGCTTTCACAGATGTTTGTACAGCATTTGTTGAGGGCTAACAGGCTATTTGCAAGATGTGATATAGTTAGAAAAGAAAACCTACTTATCTCAATTCTTTAAAAATATAAGCTTTTAAATATATAATGTTTAGGACAACAGATTTAATAAAAGTAATCTTTCTGGCTAATTTCCTGTGAGGTTGTATGGTTAGAAATTTTAATTACCGAGTAAACCTACATTGTTTGAAATTTCATACAGTTTGCTTACATGTTGCAATGAATATGCCCTAAATAAACAATATTTAAAAACCCAGAATTGTTCTAGGATGAGAATTCGCATTAGGTTCCATTTCCAAGCCCTTATTACATTATTTGTAATTAATTGATGTTTCGCAATGGAGCTGAAATAAACACAGGATATGATGACTACTCTCCTACTACTAACCGTCCTACTAAGTTGTCCTACTACTAAAATTTTTAATAGAACCTTTCTGAAGAAGTTTTTTTTTCTATGTTGATAGAACATATTTAAAGCAAGAGCAGTGCAGATAGTTTCAACATATAAAAAACTACAGAACTGTATTTCTTGTCTCGGCAGGAGATAATTGTAAGATGCCAACTGACTGGCAACAGTCAAAATTCTAGAAATCACAGAACATTAATTCAGTGCTAATGAGACATTAGGAGAAGGCATAACAGTATCATGTTTTCTGATAAAATATTTTTTTTCTCTTCGCACATTTTAAATTCTGTGAACATTACGTAAACATCTACGGGCTTATCTTATTCATTTCTTCTCAATATTTTTGCATTATTAATACTTTTAACAAAAGAAAGCTGTACCTCTTTGATCTATAACAGCTGAAGAAAAAGGCTGCATTTTATAAAATCTTGCTTTTTATGGATGAAAAGCAACGGAATCACTTTGAACTCCGTACCAAACTCTACTGGAGTTTCATTTCATAAGGCAGGCAGAGATATGGTACATACCTAGAGACAGTAGGTAGAAACCTATAATAGTCTCTCCTTGTTCTGTTACAGGAGTCTCTTTGTTCTGAAAACTGTTGTTGTTGTTCCTCCATGGTGCCTGCGGAGAAAACTGGAGAGACATTTTCAGCAAAGCTTATGACCCAGGTCTTGCCCTGTTCCCTTGGTATGTCCCAAATACCCAGTGAAATAAGATAGTTTCCAGCCTTTCCTCCGGTATCTGCTCCCTGTATTCTATGAAGCTGTTCAGTGAGCCTGATAATCTACGGAAGGAAATCTCAAGGGACAAGAGCTTTGCTGCCTTCTGGCCTGTTCTTACTTGCTAATCCTATCTATTAATACGGCCCGCGAATCTGTGACCAGCCCATGGCAGCGGATTTCCTCACATCCCTATTACTGCTGCATGTCTTTCCTGGTGCAGAATGTTAATCTGACCTTTCTTTAAAATAAATAAATTGATACCACATAATACACAGGTTCACAGAATAGGATGTATATACATACGTTGCAGAAGTACCTGTAGTTTTGCTTTCATTGAAGACCACTAGAGTTTTCAGGCAGGACAGTTCTTAACTAGGGGGTTGAGGAGGGAAGCATTTAGACTGGAAATAAATCCAGTATCTTAAATACTGTGAATTTGGTTTTCACACTGCTAAGTACCTGCCAATCCTATACATTCCAACTACAGCTGCATTTTTACACACTATTGAAAAGTTTGATTTTTGCCTTGTTGAAGAGACATGTTACATGTCAGACTGGAGTATATGGAGTATATCACTAGTATTAGTATATCACTAAACTACAATCTATCAATTATTATATTTCAGTTTCAGCCTCTCTTACCAATCAGATTATGACCATATTTCAAATCCAAGTCTGAATTAACACTTCTGAAGCAGCAAAACATTCCTTCCATTTTTTTTTTTTTTTTTTTGCCAATGCAAGAGATTGATATCTACCGGCAGACTGCTCAAATTCTTGCTGTGATTTATTGCTTCCCCTAAGTTCATGGCATTTCATGCAGCTGTAGAACAAAACTCTAGCAGTGCTGCTGCAGAGGCATAAACTCTAGCAGTTATCAGTGATTTCAAAACGGGGTAAATCAAGGAAATAGCTCTCACCGTTGTGAAATTCTGAACTTGCAGGAAACATGGCTGTGCGTAAGGGCCCTCTTGGCCTTATATACTCAATTAAATCCTCCGTTGTTACTCAAGTGAAGCAAAGTTTTGGGACTCATGACCTCACCTTCAAAAGATTAAACGAAAGCACTGAAAGGAGGAGGTGGGGGAGACTCTGGGTGCTGGGGAGAGGAGATCTCAGACCTGGCACAGGCGCGTGGCTGCAGCTTGCAATCCTGCCTGTGGGCAAGGCTCACCTTGCAGACACAAAGGGAGGAGCGAGCACCCCCTCACCTCTCAGAGAGAGATAGCATCTCCTCTCTCCTTGAGCATAAAACATCTCTAGGTCTGTTTGATGCCATGAGTCTCCTTCCGTCACGGCTCCCTTCCTCCTCTGCCACCCAAGCCCACAAGCTCTTTCAGGCTTGTTAATCTAAATAACACAAAAATATAGAAAGTCAAACTCTGGACAGAGCTTAAGTATCTTTGCAGTGAGCATTCCTTTACCCATACCCACCCCCTTGCCCTTCTTGGTGTTCCTGACTGCTTGTCTCAGAGATCTGGGCCTTGCCGAGGCAAGGGCTTGTTGTCCCTTCCCACCCCAAGACCAGAAAGCAAATAAGCCCCCTGGGATGGGACCTGTTGGAAGAAATCAAAGTATCTCGTTGAAAGCTTCTGAATCCATGAGCTGTTCTTCTCTTTCCTATGTTCCTCTGTTTCTTATGATGGTCAAAACCCGTCAACCTGGGTCACGCTCCCTCAACTGTCTGGTTGAAAAAGAACCAGCCATTTCCGACAACCTATCTGTGGAACAGGTCAAAGGCCTCTCTGGGTCTGATCTCTCAACATTTGCTAGAGCAAAAAGAGCAGTGCTATGGTGAGTTCTAGAACAATAATATTGACATATGAGGCTCTGAATGGTCAATTCTTTGATAAGGATTTTAAACTATATTTCCCAATAGATACTTATTAATAAAACTTTGTCTGATCTTGGCCATATTTAGGCACATCTAGCCAGCTAAAATTCCCTCTTCTAGCTGTGTAGCTAGACATTGGTGTTTTGGAATTACATATTGATCTCCACCGAACAGAGTTACACTTGTGGCAAATACAGGGACTGCCCATCTCTCTCAAATTACACACATGCAATAGTGAGGGGATGGAACATGCTTACTAACCAGTTCCCTTTATGCACATTTTTTTTTAATGCCGTTTAAAACAGCACTAACTTTGCAAGTCTGTGTTTGGTATCTGTTGTCACACAAACATCAGTCCATGTGCTTTTGTCTAAATAGGGATAGTGACAATGAAGGGTAAATAATTTATTATAAGTTGTTATAAAAACATATGATTTACTTACCTGAGACCTTTTCATAGGCATTATAGGTGGTAATAAATTAACATTTATGGTCATTTCTATTTTGTTACAAAAAAAGGACAGATTATATTATTTGCCTTGGTATCCTAAACTTGAATCTTGAATTTTCGCACCTCCGAGATTCTTTTGGTTTCATATAAATATTGCTAGCTCCATGAACACTTCAATTTTCTGCAAAACTTTGCTCAGGTTTGATGAGCAGTTTAGGATAACAGAAACTTTAGAAAAACTTTCCATTTCAATGAGACAGCCTTTTGCCAAGACTCGTGCTCTGTTATAATAATGAGATAATAAAAATAATTTTTAATAACAAGAAGATTAAAAAAATGGCAGAACTGTACTCCACAGTCAAGCATCTCTTTTGATGATTTTTTTTCTTTGATCTTCACATACTACACTGAGTGACTAATACTTTTGTCTGTTCTCAATTTTCGTCTTCACTCCCTCCAGTGGCATCCTTCAATAAGTGACAGTGTCTTTGACAAACTCCTGCAGTTTCTCACGTGTCCACAGGTCTCTGTGCCTCCACGTGAGACAAAGGCTCCCTCTGCAGATTACAGCCACCTTGTTCTCACGTCTCGCAGCGCTTCGGTGGTGACCACCTTACTGCCCTCATGGAGCTTATCCATAAGAGCCTCCTACAAAGTGTTTTGAGAGGATGAGAGTAGTATGTCCTGCAAGAAATTCCATGTAAGGAGGAGAAAACTAAAATGCAGTGGTAATACAGAGAAATGAGGGGGATGGCACATGAAATAAAATTGATTTGCACATAAATAGACCTTATCTGTCCCTTTCCTAAATACACAAGAGCTACAGATTCATGCTACGGAAAGGACACAAGCAAAGAAAGCAGGTAGACACATGGAGCATCTCCTGCAAATATGCTCCCCACTCTTGCATCCAAACCTCTCATACACACAGCTGGACCCTGCAGAATTTCTCACATCAACAGTGCATTTCAAGCAGGTCTTTCTCTATCCCATTTTGGATAATTACTCACTAGAAGTGAGAAAGAAGAATGGGAATAATTTTATAGCTAGGTGATTAGTGCATGTATAAAGCAAAATTGGCTATAGTCCTTTATTATTCAATATAAATTGAACTGTAAAGCGAGACATTGCAAGACCTCCCTTTCAAATATTGCAGACCTCAGGGCCACAATGTAGATCTGAGCTAACATCCCTTCTCCAGCTCAGGTAAATGAAGAATTGTAAGTAAGTCTCCAATTAATGCACTTACAGGATGCAAAGGGCAGAAGGAGATGATTTTTGCTTTGCTTTCACACATAAAAGAATATCAATTGAAAGACATCTTCACTAGATCAAATAAAAAATCTGTTTCACTGGAAATCCAGCAGCCTAACAGATACCTTTTCTTGCCTAAAGCATTGATACATGAGGTAGTCAGCAGTCTTTCCCTTATTTCTATAGTATTAGTTCCATTTTTGTTTTTTGATTATCTCAGTGTATACTTGAAAAAGTCTCCTTTAGCTAAGCAAGACTTTTCTCCCTGATGACCCCCACTGAAGTTGTAGGTTTTTCTTTTATTTCCATACTCCAGTCTTTGCTGCATTCTACCTTGTTTCTGCTAAGAGTTTCAGCCAAACTTGTTATAACTCTTGTTATGCAAGTCCATGGCATAAACTAATGCCTCCAGTATGGCCTGACAGTGTGACCTGCTAATAGCGATTCAATATTAATATTGTCATGCTAGAGTGGCTATAGATATTACTGGAGCATTAGCAGACTGCTGAACACTGTGTAAATTGCATTTCATTTTTTTGTTCATTTTAATGATACAGCTTTCTCACATTTTCAGTGACTTTTCATATCTCTAACCTGCCCAAAGATTTCACAGTGCAGAGCAATAAGAAAGTAGAAAGGTTTATCCCCTTTCAAGGCGTTTAACATATAATTTCTAGGAAAGACGCTCCAACTGTTCTACCATTAGCAGTCTTCACATTAGTCTTCAAAAGTGTTGAAAGGTGGGGAGAAGGGTACATATTCCCTACTCATTTTCCATTTTCTTTCCCACAGCATCTTTTATAAATTTCCCTCCATAACAGAGAATATGAAAGTGAAATCAGTACAGACCTAGTACCAGAAAAGTCTTTTTCCCAATACAGGGCAGCATGGCAAAAACAGTGCCATAAACACCATTTTTAAAAAGTCAGAGAGTCTGTATAAACTGAGCATAAAATCACAGTGAGCAAGACCTGTGTCAAGAGAGCTATTGAGTTATAATGGCATGAAGAAGTCTTATTTCATTGCTTTTTTTTTGGTCTTGTCCTGACACTTACATGTTGAAAAAGGTACAACACAATCTCTATTGATTCCTCTAAACAAAAAGCTGGGCTGTAAGTCTAAGACACCACCTGAGATTGCATCACTTCTTTACTGATGCAAGGAAAAGCAGAGTTTGAATTTTAGGTTGCTTAGAAAGACATATTTTCAAGACCCATCAGAAGCTGACTACTTCCTGTAACATATAAAAGAACACAAGAAATTAATGCTCATGGCTGCACTTGCGGGTTTAATGTAGCTTCTACTGGAATATTAAGGACAAAAGAATCCTTCTGAAATTACCAATACATAAAGACACTTGATTAAAGTGGGTAATAAAAAGACT